AAGACCTGTTTTGAAAAATATTTTCTCAGAAAATTTATGCCGTTTCTTATCCTGTAATGTAAGCACTTAACCTCACGGAACCTCAACGAGAAAGCTGAGATTTCATCAATAAGCCTCAGGTTTATTCTGTCAGCAACGTTCTACATCTGACTTTCTGTATTGTGACATTTTATTACTAGCTGTGCTCTAACACAATAGAAGTGACAAGGTACAATCAAATGATTTCAGTACAGTGGAGGATTTGGATAGCATTTTTTCCCTAGATGCAATCAAATCATCTATTTTCATCTTCATATTAGTTTGAGAGGCACTGGAGATGGCACCAGGGAGACAAAAAGTGTTTTTAACCTATCAGTTTTCAAAGTAATGTGAAACAACGGCAATGGTAAGGAAAAATATCATCAATTTTAAGGCTGATCTCAATTATATCTCATATAGAAAAGTTTTCTATAATCTTCCATTACACATTCCATTTCTACCTAGGAGGACAGTGAGCAATTACAGAAAACGCTCAGAAGCCAGAGAAAGAGGTACTTTTCATTTTTGACTACCCCTATTATTTTTTTTTCAGAATTATTACCAATAAAATAAGTTACCTTGACAGTGGAGTTATTTAGTATGAAAACTTTTTCAGTGGCAGGATAACAGGGGGATGGGTAACGAAGGTTTTCTTGTTATGTGCTTGCACAACGCCTAACACAAAAGGCTTTGGGCCCATCACAAGAGACCTCTCTCTCTTATGCTTCAGTAGTGAAAACAGTCTATGGGTACCAAGATACCATACCTTTGAAGTGCTGTTCTGATTTGACAGCGTAATCTTTGAAAAGGATTACAAACACTCTTGAGTCCTCTGGGTACAATCTCTCAGTTCTGCCTGGTATTTCTACCACCCTCCCAAGCATCTGCTATTAACTACCTTTAGAGAAAGCTACTGCATTAGACAGGGCTGTGGTCTGACAACTATAGCACTTTCTATATTCATTCTGAGAGTATCTTTATGTCTATACTAACCTGGAGTAAATGTTATCATATATAACATGCAAAACTTATACCCTACATGCTCAGTCGAATTAACAGATTACTATGTTATTTTTCTTGGTTTTATTTGAAATATACATTTTGAAAATAGTGACTGTGAGAACATAACATTGTAAAATTTAGACTATTTTCAGAAAAACATTATTTTGCCCTTCAAAGCGGGCCTTACTAATAAATACTGCATAATTATTTAAGCTGCTCATTACACTTAACCATAGAGAACAGTCAGTTTGACAGCTATGACATTACCATCAGGAACAGAGGTAAGCCTGCAACTACTTGAAGAACTGTGAATTACAGTTTAATAGCCAGAAGCTATTTGCCTCTTAGTTTTTTTGGTAAATTCTTACTCTCAATGAATCTATAAATACATGAAAACCTCCAATTTATTAAGTCACAGATTAAAACAGTTTCATTTCTATGAAGAACAATTTGTCTTTATTATTAAGCTACACTAATATACCTGAATGCACGGTAGGTAGTCTTTACAGACTGTAAAGAGCTTGAAATCAATCAGAACGCCTATTATCTCAATGAAAACAGGATAAGGCCCTAAGGAGAATATGTTTTTACTGGGGTTTGTAGTGATCAATATAAATCCAAAGAGCAATTAGGATGAACAAAGCTGTTATAAAGGGCTCTTTTTATGCCCATAAAACCTTAGTCAGGACTGAGCCTGTTCTGTCCCAAGACCTTCCATCTTGCTCATTCAGCACCTTTCCAGGTGTTACTGCCTCAGTTGTATCGATTCAACAGTTTTGTAACTACTCTCTAAACTGAATAGGCAAATGGTCTGCTTCCAAAAAAACAAAACAAATAAGGACATTTTTTAGGAAGAGATATTTTTCAAGCTCATTTCACAGATTACTTCTAGAGCACTTCATGCTAGTATTTAAGTTTGCAGAACTAAGAAGACTATGACCTCCGTATTGGGAGGGAGAAATAAAATGAACAGGAACAAGTACCTGAGGATATCATAAGATAATCTTTTAAACTGTGTTTGCCTCAAAAAATTTCAATGTGTACCACAGCCAAACTCTGTAACACCACATTTTTGATATTTGTTAAATATGTGTTGGGAACTGCAAGCAAATCAGTGAAAACAGAAGTTGTCACTTATTAAAATGTATTAGTGAAGATTTCTGAACTTTGCTGTCAGTTACATCAATTAATAATATACAAAATATTCCTTTAAAATAATATTATTACTTTCATTTAAATTAGTTAAATAACATTGCTAGAATTCACACTTCAGTAAAATACCTGTGGAAACTCTATATGACTTGTGATTATTTAAAAATAAATAAAGCAAGCTGAATAGTTGGCCTTACAGGAACTTTTGTCCAGAAAATATGATCAACTGTCGTTTGCTGTTATTAATATATGCCATTTTTACTACAAGAATCAAACCAAATCTTATGTGTACAAATAACAAACATCATTTGTACAATGATAATCCCTGCTAAAAACGTTCACTATCCAAGACAAAAAAAGTGTCACTGAACAAAGAAATGGGAGATTTGAACTGAAAATATGATATCTGTATGACTCCATTATTAACAGTACTTTTGCAGCTGAAGAATCTTCTGCATTTCAACATAGACAGAAGCAGTAGCAAGAGAATAAATTAATTAAGAGCAAGCCTTTCGTTACAACATGAGGACAATATGAAGCTGCTCCAAGCTAAGTACTGAAAAATGTATAATTATGGAGTTTACAGTAATTAAAATTTCCTTCCTAGCTCACTTTATCACACAAACTGGGTGGAGAGGAAGAAAAAAATTATGATTTTGTTTGACTCACAAGCACAGCTCTAAGAGCTGCGCTCTTAGAGCACTTTCATAAACAACACATTTTAGTCAGGCCATTGATTTAGAAAAGAATTTCCCAAGGAGGGGAAAACATCTAGCTGGTGATTTATGACAACGATAGGAAGTGCACTCAGAGCTGGGGCTGCTCCCAGAATTTTTGCAAGTATAGCACAACAAAAAGCCTCTTTGATACAATTTGCTTCTATGAGTGCATTTATGATAAACATAGCGTGTCCTGGTTCAGTCAAAAGAGAACAAAGAATTGGTTTAATCAAACGGAAGTTATTTAAAAACTTTTACACAGGCTTCATCGAATACTCCAAGCAGGCAGAATGATTTACAAGAGTAGCTAAAATTTCTAACAGCAACTAAAAGATTCTTAAATGCCATCACTTTCTGCCAAGGATTACTCTCTTACATTATTGTTTTCTTTCTGTCTTTCATTTTTCCCATTTTGTAAGTAAATGAAATTAACTTAGCTCACCTATCAGAAAACTCCATATAATCATACACAGCTTCTCCCTTCATTTGTTTTTGCAAATCATGAAAAAAACAAATCCTGTGGATAAAGTTAGAAGTTTTGGAAGGCAACATTCAACTCACATGTGGATCTTGCTAATTGCTATTGTCATTGTTGATCTCCATCTAACATTTCTCAGGATTAGAGCCTAGTGACTGTACAGGGACTGAAACGTATTTGTTTAAACAAAGAAGTACTGCTCAGCTGTTTTCATTATGTTAAAGGAGAGTACATGTCTAAAAAAACCCTGAGGGAGGGAAAACTATATGACATGAGCAGATTAGATCATATGGAAGTATGTAAAAGGTTGAGCAAACACTAATCCTTAACTCTGAAAATATGTCTCCATGTGTACATACGACACAGCACAGAGCTAGGACTCTGCCACTGAGTACAGGACTAGTTTCTCTCATTATGAAAACAAACACTCAAGTAACAGAAATGAAACAGAAAGGATACCATAAATAACGCCTATTCAGTTCCCCTAGGTTCAAAACTGCAATAGAAGAGGGGTGGTTTTGGCACATACTGCATATGCAGCACTATAGATAAGGTCTACAAGAAATTCTCTGGGGGGCAGAGGCTGTCTTTTTTATTACGTACTTACACTGCCTGCGAAAGCGAGTATGCAGATGCTACGCACACACATAGATGGTATTGTAATAAAGCAAACAAAAAATAATGGCAATAAAAGTTTTGAAACATTCCTCAGAACTAATTGCAAAGGATGATGCAGTGAACGTATAGGGTCTTTACATTGTGCACAAAATCTGAGTATTTGTAATGTACCTAGAAATGCTCTCTTGCAAATCTGGTATTAAACAGAACACTTGTTTAGTGTTTGGTTGATATTAAGGATTTCTCCTCTGAGATTTAAAGTGATATCATCACTTATTAGCCAAGAGATGCATCAGAACCGTTCTAATGAAATAAGCTTTCTCCATGACAAAACTTAATAACGGAAACAGCCAATCCGGAGCTCTTTAGAAGATTCTTTCATGAAATAAGAAACAGTAACAGCATTCCATTAATTTAATTTTGATATCAAGTTTTATAGGAGTTTTGTAATTCCATAATACAGAAGAAATCTAATCTTGGAACTAAGATAAAAGCAAGATCTATTTCTTGAGAGATCATATGGGATTTAAAAATAGCATCACAGAAATACAATATTATTCTTCCTAATGAATGGTCCCAACATGAATTAAATAATTAACTGCAGATGGTATAGCTAACAAAAAAACAATACATTCTGTTAATGATGAATGGTTGGTGCAAGAGATCCTCCAGCACACTGGTTGTTCTAAATTCAAAGTGATGTTTGAAAAGGAATTACAGTAGTCAGTTCTTTATTTTATTGTCTCACATTAATTCAAAGCAATGCACTGAAAGTAATTCAGTGACACTGTAATTCTTTAATGTTACTGCCAGTGGCCAAGAGGCAGCATATGCTTCCCATCATAAATAGTTAAATCATGAAGCCTTTAGGAGAGGAAAGGAGTAAAACATTGATGGCTTGTATCACTCAATGGACATTTTTGACAAAATAAACGTTATCAATAGGAGCTGGCCAGACAGATACCTGAAGATACACAGAAACACAGCTAAGAGCAAACTGGTACTTAACTTACCAAGCATTGTTCAATGGGTCCGGTACAGCAGTATATAAAGGAGCTGGCTTAGCACAAGGGGCACAGTAGATGCAGTTCTTCTCCACAAGCACTGTGCAGTGTGATGCCTGGCCACAAGACAGGAGTGCATTAACACAACTATACAACCCCAAGCCCATTCCTACACCAAGAATTCAAAACAGGCTACTAGGCAACAAACTTCAGACTTCTTGTCTCTGTAAAGCACTGAATATAAAATGTTCAGACTTTGAACTCGCTCATCTAACTGTGCAATCACAATGCTGTGAAAGAAGCATAAATAAACTTTCTATCTTTTCATTTAGATTGCACTGACATAAATTTTGTGTGTACTGATTTTCTTTAAACTTCTGTAGTCCCTAACGTTTAGAAAAGCATACTTTAAAATTCGTATTATCATAGCAGGGGATGTTGTGAGAACTGAAAGAGAAAATTATTTTTAAAAAGTACCTGATAGCCATGCCTGCTGAAAAGTGTCTCCTATAGAACACTTTATGCCAAGCTCCTAGGAAAATACAGTCTACCCACCTAATATCAGACAGCTTGAATACACCTGATTTCCTTTAATCTCAGAAAGTAAACAGTCACAGTCACGGACCACCATGTGAGGTAAAATACAAGCAAGGAAGCAAGGCCAAACATGTGGTCTCTGTGAACTAATATTTGCCAAATGACTTTAAAAATGCTACATGATTTCAAGTAATTGCTGCTTTGACAGACTAGAATAAAAATGAAAAGAGAAAAGTCAAATGACCAGACAGATCATTTCTATTTCTTTTTTCAAATAATTCTGTAATTCTTCTTTTTTTCTGAGCCAAATTATTTGGGTCTATTTACTTAAAAGTTACTTTCTTTATCTGAGTACTTAGGGATTTATCGGTGACGCTAGAGCCAGAGGCTAACCTTAGCACCCCTCAGCAAGTCACATGATGTGGGCATAGCTCTGCTTGAAGAAGCAAGTCAGATCAGGGCAACACATACACTCCCGTAACAGTATTCTTAATTGTATGGGTAGAGGAGAAATAATAATTCTACTAGGAGGAGAAACTGCTAAAAGGGTTTGGTATTTCCTCAGTACAGTCCGATTTACAAAGATTGTTTCCCTGAAAATAAACAAGAGGAGATGGAGAGATTTTATTCAGTGTTCGCAGCTGTTTTTCAGCCTATGAACTATCTCAAAAGCTGCCAGCTTTCGCACAAAATCAGAGCATACTGCCTCTGTGCTGTTTTCTTTGCATGTGCCATCAGTGTTCCCAGTAACAAACATGTATCTCTCCAGCAAAATATTCTCAGACTATGTATGACTAGAACAGTGAGTAGTGCAGACCAGGAAGAACAGATTTGTTGAGCAAAGCATGCCAAGGACCTGACATCCTTCCTGTTTTATCTTAGGTAGCTTTAGTTTAGATTACTTCTAGCCTGTTGCCATGGACTGAATGAAGTGCTTGAAGGGCATTTAGTTATGCTTCCAGAGCACATCTCCCATTTTAATTTTAAATTCACTAAGAGAGTGAACTTAGTTCACTAAAATAGACCGCTCTGCAATGTGAGCCATAGCATGGTAAGGAACAACAGGGAGATTTGCTTAAAAACTGCAGTCCTAATCCAAAGAAAAATCTTAGTGAAGATGCATGCTTTTTGTATCTTACTATAGAAATGTAAATATTTGTATAAAGTTCTTCTGTTAGAGCTGAGATTACCGAAATACCTGAAATTTGATTTTAATATTCCACAAGAGTGCTTAAGAAAATGAAGAAAGATATGGGCTCTCATTCAGTACACAAAACAGCCAGCCAGCCAGCTGAAACTGTTTCCTGGAGATAGCCCTCCAGAAAAATCTCCAAGACTACCTCATGCCTAAGTCAGGCAAATACGCACTGCAGGAAGAGGGCACAGCACAGCAGCAGCTAGTGGAAGAACGATGTGATCTAAAAGTAGGGATAGAGATAGGTAAAAGTTTTCCTTGCCACCATAAATGTTTACCCTGTTTTATTTGGAGTACGATCTTTTTATTTCTTTTCTGAGCACAGTTTGGCATTTCTATGCATCTCCTGTTGATCAAAATGAAGTAATGCTCTATTTTTATGACACAGACTGAAAGAAGAACCTGAACAGCAGTAAAAGTACACATATTTTCATGTGTACATCTGGTGATGTTTACTGTAAATTTTGTGTGTGGGGGGGAGGGGTGTAACTAACTAACTTTAAGTAACAAAACTGAAAATATGCACTTTGCATTTAGCAAGGCTTAAGTAGATTTTACATCATGAAATCAAGGACTCCATAGTTTAGTCTTAGTCTTTAAATATGGAAAAATTACTAACAAACCAAATACCACTTAAGTAGACCTTTAATTCATTTAAAACACTTAACTGTATATTAAGACTTCATGCTTTGAAATCTTGTTAATTCTACTGAATTTCTAACTTACTGTCTTCATATTTAGTATGGTCAGGATAACAATCATTTATCAGTGGGAAGCAAAACAATCTGCCATCTAAATAAATATTAGGCATTTGTTTTAAATTTAAGCTCTTCCAATCCCAAACCAACAGTTAGAGTCTTTCATCGCTGCCAGCTGACAGTATGTCCTGTGATTTCATGGCTTGAGAAGGCTTCCTCTATTTCTATCAGTATATACTGATACAATGTGTTTTCCTATAGTACAATCTCTTAGTATAGTCTCTTCTACCAAAAGAATAGAAATCATTATTCTGTTCACTGGATACGGAAAGAAAAAGAGTTTCTATGTAATATTAAGTAATAGATCAACCAATCTGTTTTATAATTAAACACATTCATCTCTAACATAATCATCTGAGTTTTAGCTAACTTTATAATTAACATAAAAAATTAAAACTAGGCAAATGATAGAGAAAGATACTGCAAGATAAAGTTTCATGTCCTGTCTGAAAGACTTCTTGGATTACTCTGACTGCGTCCACAGTTTTCTCAAAGGCTTCGCGCCATGCATCTCACATGCTGAGACATGCTTTTTTACTAGTTAAATTTGATTCAAAATTTGAATTCATAAGCCTGTAGCCAATACTGGCAAGACTGAGCAATTAAGATGAGGTTCTTGAATAGCAGACCTTATATAGCAGGACTTCTGATTTTGTACTTGCCTTTATGCACAAGTACACATATTTAACTAACAGGTGCTGGATTGCCCAACCACCCTTTCTGCAAGCACAAACGCAGATTCATGTTCTTTTGTGCAGATGCAAGACTGAATTTTCATTTGGCTGAAACTGACAGTCTTCATTCTCTACGCAAAACAAGGTTCTCCTCACACTGTTGTGGCTATCCAATTTTAAAATGAAAATAATTGATCAATAAAGTTAATGTTTCTTGAGGCCTTCAATACAGAAAAAAGTCATGTTACCATGACTTCTTGTTAAGTATTGTAAACGGAAATTTACTAGTGTCTTGGAAAACTCCTTATTGATCAAAATTTCCGTTTCTGTTCTTAAAAAAAGAGAAAAATCAGTTGTTTGACTTTCTGCTCTAAATGTATTCATTTTCCATGAAAAAGAGAATCTAATTGCAGTGCATTTTAGATCCCTAAAGAAAATATTAGCATTATAATGCAAATATTTAAGATATAAAAGCAAATCAAAAAGGCCATTTCAATCCTGATGTGTAGATCCCACTCTTTTAAAAAATATTTCTATTTTGGGCTTTTAAAATCTTAATACTTTATATCTGCATAGAAATTTCATTGAAGAGCATTTTAAGAACAGTACCATTTCTGGCACACACAGCCTCCAAATCAACAATAATTCTAGTTTTGGCTTCTTTTACTCATGAGTCTCTCAGAGCCATTCTGTATTAAGTAGGTCAGCTAAAAAAGTGACTTTAGGTTGTAAGAGAAATGTTTCATGTCTGTCTGTGCCTGTGAATGGAAAACAAGGGTTGTCTGGACTCCATGGCCAATATAAAATATTGGCAAAATAGCCTAAAGTTTTCCTAGGTGTAAGTCAGTATGCTTAAAAAAAACTAATAGCTAAACAAAGAAGCTGCACATCTTTATCACATAGTTTCTCTTTTGTTAGTCTTACTAATTTGCTTTCTCTGACTGAGGAAAAAAAGGTTTTTTTCTCTTTTCTGTTTGTACCAACTGAATTACAGTAATTAAACAAGATGGGCCAGAACTTAAACTATCTTGCTGACCACACACTCCCATCAAAGCACAATCTGAATGTGAACTTATTCTATACTGGATTAGCACAGAAAAACCCACAGATGTTCTCAGGACACACAATACAATATACAGTATGTCAAGATACTCTTCTAGTATCAGAGATAGCGGAAGCATTTGGGAACAGAGGTGAACATGAACATAATACCGAAACACCTCATGAGGCTTCACTAAGGAAGCTAGACTAATTCACAGCAACTGTGGATTTGTTCTGTAAACACAGCCACAGTGCCTCCAGGTATTATTTCTCAAGCCATGCAACCTTTCTTAGCCTTTCTTAGCTTTCCATGGCAATTTATGAGGGAACTGTCCGAGCCGTCGTGGCCGCAGATTTGAACTAAACAGAAAAGAAAAATCCAGTAATCAACCTAGTCTGGATATTGGATAACGTTTCTATAACTTGTGCCTCTAAAACTATTGACTACGATTTTCTTAAACTATCAGCTTTCCTAGATAATCAATCCCCTGGTAAAAATTATGCTCTTGGTGTACTACAGTACACATATAATTGGAAAGCTGTTCCTGTAAATACATTAATCATGGTTATGAGGAAAACAGGTTCTGCAGAAGTAGGAAATACTTGACTATAGAGCAGAAATGGCAATTTACGAAACATAATCAATTTTAAAAATAATTTTGTCCTTGCCATACATTGTGCAGTCACTGGTGGAAAATTCCTACTATTTGTGAGGTGATATGGCTGTGAATCAAACAAAATAGGAAATGTCTCCTCAAGCCCTCAATAAATAGGGTACAGCTGCAATAATAGTACTTGTGGAATGAGTGGTTTGGTACATTCGTTTTACAAACACCTTAAATCATTAAGACTCATCATTCTAATTGTACTTCAATGTGCAAAAGTTAAGTACTGCTCTACTTGGCAACTCC